CACCAAAACGGGGAATTACATGACCAGGAAATGACTCATGCCATAATTGAATTGTTTATTGGATTGTATGGTATGTGGCACCGTCTTGTTGAAACCACATGTCGTCTACATCCATATCTTGCAATTTAGGCACAAAAATCTGGATTATCATGTCACGATAGCGAGCACCATTAACCATCATTGCCTGACCAGCCACATTTTGGAAGAAGATTGCATTGATGATGCCTACAGCCTAAAATTCACAACAAACAATGGCATGTTGTGGATTCAATTGTTCCTAAACCATCACTCGCGGATTTTCTGATCCCCAATTGCGATATTTTGTCCATCATCGCTGTAGATGATTTTGTTCTAAAAATCAGCATGTCGTTATTGCATAATCCATTCAACGAACTCTCTTCGCTCTGAGTGACCAGTAGGCTTCAGTTCTTGAGTCAATTGAACTTTGTAAGCTTGAAGATGCAAATCTTTGTGCCAAATTGATGTTCCTGGACTCTCAGCAACACTTTCATGAACTACTTCGAAGTTTTGTGTTGAACGACTTATTGAGGATGGCCAGAGGGTTGAAGAGAGATTTTTCAACTAATATCTTCATAGTTGATGAATTATTCCGACCACATTTTTTACGAAAACTGCAGCTGCCAAACCTTCATTATTTTCAAAATTTTGCACAATAAGGAACCGCGTTGTTCTTTCGTTTAGCGCTCCATTTTCACGCCGTCTTTTTTTGTTGGCAACACTGTACTATACAAATGGCGCGAAATTCAAATCTACTTTATGCTAATATATTAAGTAATTTATTCTCGATGTTAACTTATCGCAGTTCAGATACTAGACAATTAACAGAAAGTAAAATATGTACTGGGTGTCCAAATACTGAAGTAACTTATAAAAAAACAAAAAATTGAAAAGTAATGCTGTATTTATTGTGAAGGGTTGTCCATCATTTACAATAAAAATACGGTTCTGCCGGAAATTGTACATTACCCATCCATAAATTTGGATCTCCCTACATCAAACCTTCTAAAAGGCCGAGTGTGAAATTTCGAGTGTTATGCCTGTCGCTGCAGTTAAATTTATATCACCAACAAAGAACCACTTTAGAATTTTTACGCTACTTTGGCCCACAATAAAGTGGGCTGGCTGCGCCCGGGCCACCTAAGACTCTAAAATAGATTTAATTGTGCGGAAACCAAGTAATTGATTTTATGGGGTTTTATTTTTTGCAACCTGATGAATTGTTTCTTCTGTCGGCGCTTTCAAACGTAGAAACTGATATGAGGATATCCTTAAGGAACAATTAATTATGCTCCTTACTCGGTCTGAGCTTTATTTAGGTTTAAAAACAAATATTTATTACAATAATTAATTATATCTGCATTTTATCTAAGAAAATGTATAGAAGTAATATAAAATGTGTAAATTCAGTCTTTAGGATATTCTCCGGTCGAGTTTTATTAAAGTTACCCATATACTGATGCTTTAGATACTGGAGGATTAAAACATTTTCAACTGCCAACTTTTGATTTTATTATGGACGCCATCGAATTTTCGCACCCATAATTTTAACATACACATAAAAGCTGACTTTGTTTTGTTGGAAATCGTGCTCACTAAATCACTGCAGCCTTCAGATTTTACGCATTAGTTTTTGATAATTGCACCTGTTCTCGGTCAATATTGAAACAGGTGGAAAGATGCGACCTCGAATCACGTGCAATGAAATCGCGAAATATGATTACCTACATAACCGATGTAACAGATTTGATAAACACTTCCAGAAAAAAAAACAACTTATTAACAAGAATGGAAAGAGGAATGCAGATTTGTTTATGCTCGACTCGATTAAATTATTCCGTTTCTCGGTACCGCAAATCATTCGGTTGGCAAATGCTTTATTAAAAAATCGGTTACTGGAATTAGATATTTCGCGTTCTAACAAGTTCAGATCGTGACAAAATCAAACCAAATATTTGTTACTGATTGATACTGCTCCTTCTGTTGAAGTGATAAATAAAAACTGTTCCGCAAACTTTTCAAAATTGATAAAAGTAATAACAGCAATAATAATAAAAATAGTTTCTGTAAGACATTAATAGTGTCATCAACCATAAAATAAAGGAAAAAATCCAATAGCGTATGAAAAATCAGCTATCTGTAAGAAATGCGGTTTCTGTTGTCAACACTTAGCGCCGTCGTGTCGGTAGCCACTTACAAATTTGGAGCAGAAAATGTCAAAAATATAAGTTAAAGAACAGAATAAAGTATTGAGAGTTATGTGTACTAAATGTAGAAAGGTATCATCTTCCTAGTTAAAAAGGTGAAAGAGGAATTCAAGATCTAGAAGTCCAGCAATATGAGGGGATATTAATGAATAGTAAATAGGTCCATAATAAAGATCATCGATTGATTAGAGTCATAGTAAAAATTGCACACCTCCAAACCTAACGACACAAAGACTTCGTCTTCATTGCGATAGAACAGAAGAAAATCTCCTCACGGTGTCAATCCGACATGGACATTCCTATAGAGAGGGTGTATCCTGAAACTGACGGTTTTATTCTTGCAACTCAAGGTGGGGTCACAGTCGCAAATTAATATACCGAGCGATCCAGAATGATTGAAGCTGATGTCACATATAGATGTTACCAAAGATATTAAAATTTACTTCCATTTGATCAAAATTACTTTTCGTTGATGAAAATGAATGGAATGATTCAATTCAATAATGTTTTTTTCAATTCCAGAAATAGTTTCCAAATCATGGAGCCGCAGATTATAATATTTTTGCTCCGCATGTTCGACGGTTGGTGACACGATTCAGAAATACTGGCAGTTTTTGTAAAGGAAAGTCACCTGGAAGAAAGTTAGTTTTAACTGAAGATAAATTGGAGGATGTTAAAAATCTATGTATACAGAACGAAGGCAAACATTTTGAAGTCATTATAAATAAATTGTGATGAAATATGTTTATTCTTCATTTCAATGTTTAAATAGGTAGTTAGAAATATAACAAATTAATTACAAAAATTATTATTACTGGTAGGGACAGAATTTTGGTCAAAATTAAGAGTACATATTAACTTCTTTTTAACTTTAAACCAATAAAGCGATTATTATTTTCAAATCTCTTATAGGTAACAACATGTTCTTTTTATGTTAGAATTTAAGAAATTAAAAATTGTTACTTTTACTTTGAAGTTTGCATAAAAAACAAGATAGATAAATAATAATTGTTAAAAATCGATATTTATTTAATCCATTTCTAACAAATTAATAAACCCCCACAAATTAATTGATGTCAACATTCTGCTTTCTGTGTTGTGATAAAAATGTATATGTGATCCTATTGCCACTGCACTTAACCCGCTACTGAGCGAAGTAAATCACTGTCAGTGTTGCCAACTACGAAGAGTGGAAATACTAGGAGAGCGGCACACAAAATATTTGTAAGTAGCGGCGTTATCAGTTATTCTGGATCTCTCGGTAGTAAACCTCACTACAATCACAAATATTAAATGCAGATAATATAATTTATTTCCCGAAATGGTCAATCATATAATTGGTGTTGCAGACTATCAATAATTGCTGACCATACAAATAGGCAAAAAAACTGTTTTTTTTTTCGTTATTTTCCGAAGTATCTCCTGATATTTGCAGAAATTACAGAAATAAATGAATATGAAAATAATACGCTTTAATCTCAAATTGTTGAGCTCGTGCAAAAATTAAAAAGGAGTATGTAACTACAACAATTTTTACTAAAAAATTAAAATCTTACAAAAAAAAGAAAGAAAATATCCTTTCTCTCTCACTCAAAATACAACATTTGAAATGTTTTTTTAACCCACTTTTGATCAAATTAAAACATAAAAACAAACTAAAAAATTGAGCTTAAAAAAATATTAGTTTGCAAGTTAACTTAAAGGAGGATATTCAGATTCTGTGCCTGATTATGAGGCATCTGAATGCATACTTGATACTTCTGAATCTTTTGACTCTAGAGCAAAATGCCCTTAGTCCGTCTGAACTTACTCAAAACATATATCTTCTAAAAATCTCACTAACTGTCGTATCTTTCAAAGTTTCCTTTTTATAATGTCTTCTGCTCTTGCTAAAGATAGTTCAGTTACTTCAGTTACTTCATAATTATTTACATAGTTTACATAGTTTTTAACTGTACAAAAACTTGTTTAAATAATGTTTTATAGTTGAAAAGCAAAAATAAACCTACATTTTCAGATTTGATGAAAAATTGATAAAGTATTAAGAATATTGTTTGTTTCAAAAAGGAATCAGTGTACATATTTGCTGATATTAGTTAATAATGAACTCAAATAATAGCAGTAGATATGCAATGACGAATGTTACAAGGTTAAATGGAGTCAAATAATTTTTAGGACGAGAATTTTGAATTTATTTGAATTGGAGCTAAAAGAGCTAATAATTGAATCTGTTCTTTTAAGAAATTCCTTAAAAATTGAAAAAAATTGATCAAGTAAAAAACAATTCACGTTAATCTAGTCATATTCAATACTTGTGACATGGTCTTTTCAAAATGTAATTTTTTAAAAACTTTTTTAGATATAATTTTGTTATATCATTAATTCTATTCACCGAGAGGCTACCAGAGTACAAGTAAAATGTGGAAAAAAATATCTTTCTGTAGTAACTGTTTTTACATGATCGTTTTGTCAAATTGATGTTAGAACAACAAAAACAATATATTTCTTTGAATGTATTTTTGTATTAATTATATTTAGACAATATAATGTTTAGTTTTTATTTTGAATCATTATTTATTACCAGTTATTTACTAGATATTGCTGATGTAATTCAATGCTAGTCTGTACTTTGTTACGAGTTTGACTATTCTGGCATTGTGTTTATGTGCGTTTTTTATACCCTTTTGTTTAGAGAATTTGATTTTCATTTTTAATGTATCATATAAAATCAAACTACAATTTATGAATAAAATATTTTAATATATACAGTTTGTACAAAAGCTTACATAATTTTACAAAATAAGTATTAGCTTATTTCCATTTACAATTTAATCTGTACAATATGCACATTACTATCAATAATCAATAAATACTCCTTATCCAGGTACTAATATATTACATTTGACTCAGTTGCATAGACTTGTAGGTACAGAGTGGACAAAAAAAGAGAACCATTTCATGAACACCGACTTTAAAAATCCAAATAACGAATAATCATTCAGAAATTCAACCCTTAATTACAAGTTAACAAAACTAAGTAAGACTAACACCACAACAACATTTTAAAATGTTTCTAATTTTTTGTTGCTTCCCTGTACTGTATTAACTGTTAACAAGTTAATAACGAAAACGATATTCACGTCCACTGCAACATTGAAGACTGCGTGGCTCACATCAGCCACCAGCCACTGGTTAACAGGTTAAGTTAGCAGTTACGTGTATAAATAACAGTGCAGTTAATTTAGAACATCGGTATGTTTCTTTCTAAGTGCATTTGCAGTACCTAATCTTGGTTAATTTTTTATTTTTACGAGATACAAATCTTAGTCAGTCTCTCCTTGTCCTTATGAGACAAGAATTCTTTATGTCACATATAACGAGACATAATCGTCAACCCTAGTATGAAAGTAAGTACCAGTTTTTAATTAAAAAAACGGTTCACATTGCAACTAGGCAATTGGTTTAAATTTTGTCTTCATACTGTTGCTGTATATGCGCTAATAAAGATAATTTTGGGTAAGTTTCTCAATAAAATCTTTTATTCCCTCTGATATTCTCTTGATAAGGCGTTGTCTTGAAACAGTATGAACAAAATTAAGCATCTAATTTTCGTCAAGTAGTAAAACGGTTCCAGTTCGCTTAAGTTTTGAACTTTCGCGAAGCAGTCGAGGCATTGTAAAAACGATTGGGGCATTTAAAGCATTCTAAAGTAACTGCACCGTTTAAAGCGATATCAAATTGCAACCCTTACGTTCGAATTAAAATTACAATCACAGATGAGAAGACAAAATAGTCAGCTGCACACTTGGAAGCGGGTTTCACCCTGTGCACTGAAACGGTACTTGTTTCACTGGGACAACTGTTCGCGCTACGGTAGCCTCGAGTTCTAGATCACAGACGCGGTTACAGAGACGACAAGGGCCACTACCGGCACCCACAACCAATCACAACCATTTCTTTGTAGTTCTTCAGGACGACTTTGTTCTCGTCGTCCAGATACAACATGGATATCGCGTTGAGTTGCGTGGGCACGCAACACGTTTTAGGAACCTTGGTAGGACTCACTGAGTTCATAAGAGTCTGTACGATGGCGTGATTCGTCGAGTTGAGATGCTCCGGCAGGGGAAAATTGCACTCGCCTTGGCAGTGGTAGGCGTCGTAACCTGGAGGTGCTACGATCCAGTCGCTCCAACCTACCTGGTTGAAATCCACGTACATTTTGTGCCTGCTGCAAGGCTCACGTTTGTCGTCTTTCCGCTTGTTGTGTCTTTTGGCGGCCCTCCTCTTGCGCTGGATCTGCAGCATCTCCGCCCCCGTCTTCTGTTTGTTCTTCCCGTCGTCCGTGTAAGTGAACAGTAAGGGTTGCACTATCTTCCAAGAGTTATCGTCTTCATTTTGACTCCTCCGTAATCGAACGTGCTTCGCTGGCGTCGTCTTGTTTCTTCCGATTCCTGAAACGGAAATGAGGATGCCGTGGTTGCTTCTCGGATCCTCGATCCACCTTTGGGCTGCCGGGAATACGTCCAGGCTTAGGGTGGCGTTCCTTCTCGTATCTATGAGTTTGCTGTCGATTACCCTCGTTATGGCTCCGTGTTTTCCCTTGACGCCCGGTTTGACGATGTCGATGACCAGGAGCCTCTGGAAGTGCGCCTTCCGGTGGTCTTCTTTTGCTATCCAGTCGATCACCTTGCGATTTAAGGTCAGTTCCGCCGCTTGCAGTTTTTCTCCTTCTGGGAGACTCGAGAGGTCGAATTTCAACCGAAATTTGTGATGCCCCGGAAACCTTAAGTCTATTGGACTTTCTGAAAAAGAAAACATTACATTAATAGCAGTTCTTTGCGTTTGGAAGGCGTAGATACTCTTCACATTACTAGTTATTACTATAGCTAAGTCTAAAAAAAAATTAAATTTGCTTTCCATTTTTAAATAGCTTTAGAATGTTTTTTTCCATTGTTTAACAACTTGTAGAGCTCCACAAACGACTGTTATTACGTAGAAACCGTATTACTTAGAGATAATATTTTTTTCCGAAAAAGGTGTCTATCAACGGCCTACCAGGTGTGTGCAGCAAGTTGAAGTACACTCACTGATTGTTTACAGAATCCTGTCAATTAATTTGTTTACTTCCAGGTGTCACGAGTGGCAAGTGTGTATTATTTAATTAATATGGAATATTGTATAATATAATGGTCGTCCCACTTTCGCTACTAAACGCAACAACAACGGCAATTTTAACACATTGCCGTGGTAAGAGTTAACAAACAAAAAATGCTATATAAATCAACGGTCTGTTTGTAAGAAAGTTTTTAATGCTCGCATGGAGAATGGCGGATCACCTAAAAAGCTTTAAAGAGACTTTTATTGCTGCCGATGTTAAAACGAAATATAAATTTTAAGTAAACAGATAAATCACTTTTACGGCAAAAAATGTTTTCTTAAAATATTATCACCGACTGTAAATTGTGACCTTTTGATGCAATTTTTGTCGGCAAAGGTTACTCTTGAAAGGTTTACGAATTATAAAAATTTGTTTTTCAGAATTAAACAAATATTTGTATACAAAAAATAGTTTCAGAATAAACTAAATATTTCATATTAAGCGTGTAATATTAACACTTTCTTCTAAGTAGCAAAAAAATTAAATAGTAACATTGAATAAGTTTCTTGAGATTTAAATAAGTTTTACAGCCTTGCTAGTCCAGAACGAAGATCCACTTCCAAGGAATTATCAACGACAGCGGTTGGAGACTATACGTTGCCTTGCATAAAGACATAATTCGCACAACTCTTGGGGCAAAGGTACCTGTCAGCATTTGGAGCAGGTCTATGATTAAATCTGTCGAATCATTCTTTGAAATATCCCCCAATGCCGCCTTATTTACATTCACATATTCGGCAAAATGTTACTTGATCTCATATTATCATAGTTTAACTTGATTTGTCAGAAAATCGGATTCTTCTGTAATAATCCACATGTAAATATTAATAGAATAGAGCCTCTTTCAAGATCCGATTTAAATAACACCCACTTATACTGAGTTTAATTAGAGAATTCAAGGGACATAGTCAAAGTATAAATGTTTTATATACGTCAGTGTGTGATTTGGGAAGAATATAAGAGAATTTTTTGGAAAACGTTACTCCTCATTGTAGAAATACTTTATTATTGTTAAGTAACTTTAATGCAGTTATAAAACTCTGAATTCTATTGCCTATAATTTGTTAAAGGTATTGTAAACGATATTGACTTAGGCAAAGGAGGGCATTTTTCTTTTGGCTGCATTGGTGTCCAGTAACGACTGATGCTGGCAAGCCTTAACAGCCATTGAAGACGTGAATGTAGGTAATCATTGCCAACTGATGTCAGTAGATATCAACACTTGCAGAATGGGTTGCCTACTCTTCCTCTTTTCAGCTGGATCCATGATTCCAAGTAAGATAATCAAAATATGTCCACAAAATTTCGTGGATATTCAATAAATTTCCCCAGTTGGATCTTTCTACTACCTCTCTTAACATTAGTAAAAAAATATATGTAATCTTAGTGATTTTGCTGCATCATGGAAATAAGTTGGTATAGAAATATGATAAAAATTTCCGCAATCTTATTGTAGCAGTTGGATATCTCAAATTCGACTCCGGACAGCATTTCCAGGTATTAAATAAATAAACTTTTGCAAATAGAGAAATTCGTGTCAACGCTCTTCTCTTAAAAAAAAGTCAACAGTAGTTATATTTTCAGTTACGCGCATATATGGTGAAATATTCATAAATATGGCACCATTGCCGCAGTATTAGTGACGGTATCACGATCTCAGTTCCAGATCAGCTAGTGAACAGATCAAAGATGTAAAGTAGGGCGGGTTTTATACGCGTATGAAGGCCTGACCTCACACCATAAGCGTAGAATAGATTGGACCATTGTTATTAAAAATAATGTAAATACCGTCATTACGTGTATAAATACTTGTTAGCTCTAAGTTGACGGTATTTGATGAAACTGTAAAAAGTGTGTGCTCTTGAAACAAGGTTTTGACACTCTCCAATAAATATAGACTTGTGTAATGACGGCACCATGTCTCTCCTGACACGAGACAAGACTAAGTTGTTGGAAATATCACATTCACTCTTCTCTGAAATGCGAATGAGTCTTCTGCGGATGTAGCAGCGTTCTTTGTACAACGCTATCTTGTTTCTTATTTTTGGATCTGAGGTCAAAGAAGTCATTTCTAAAGTCCCAACCAAAATCTTTTTTTGCCTTAATAGAAAATCAATGCAAATGTATCAGCGCGATAGCATGGGAAAATTATTATAGACTACTTGTATCTCTCACTGAATTATAGTTCTACATTGTAAGCTCCAAGCATTCTTTTTTATTCGAGTGGGCCAATTTCCAAAATAGAGTCTTCACGTTGAATGTATTATTAATTTTAAGCTAACTAGATAAAGTTTCTGAAATTATTATTAATCTGATTTATCTTAGAAACATATTGTATGAGCTCTTGGATGCTATGCTGATGGATCATTAACAGCTGCTGTTTTTGAATTTTAAGAAAGAGGAAACATCTAATTCTTGCTTCGGACGTAAAATTTAAAATAGATCATAAATTAAAATATCCAATAAATAATTTTTAGAAATATTTCAATACTAACCCCGTAACACACGACCAAAACTTAATAAACCCTCATTTTCGGCATAAAGTGGTTTATTTTTCGAATAACAAGATCAATTATCTCATTGAGGGCAGTAGACTTTCGAAAATGTGTAAATAAATAAATTAAAACAAATAATCTATTAATTTACAAACGCCAGAGAAATACTAGTGGATACGCCACTGCGTAAAAAACACCTGATATACCTGTGTTTCAACATACCGCAACTATAAATAAAATAATCGCCTGGTAATTATATTATCTATCTCTTAAAGCTTTTAGAGGTTGCAATAATATTACTCGAGCATAATAGTACTCTAAATATATTTGTAGAAATCATCTGAATTAAACAATTTATATGCTCTTATATGGTACTTGTAAATTACGTAAAATATTCGCAATTAACAAGTATTTGTAAATATATTTACTGTCTGGTGGCTGTGCATTCAAATATCTGCTGTCAATGGACAAATTTAAGTCGTGGAATTTTTTAAAAGCCAAATTCATTTCCTGGAGGTCAATCATTAAATCTATATAAAAAATATTTTTAAAAAATTGTTCCTACTCTCTTTCTACCAGTTTTATTTTTCGTTGGATGTATCATAATTGTTAAACTAGTTTCCAATAGTATTAATTTTAGTTATATTAAAATTTTGGTACGTTCTTTTATTTTATATATTAAAAAAATAGCTTATATACACATGTTTATTGGCAATTCGTTATAAGTTAGGTACATACAAATCTACCGCGGTTTGTGTTTTTTCTTATTATGTCTGATTTTTTATTCTACATATTTTAACTTTGACTAATAAATTGGGAAATTTATCAATTTCCAATAATCGTTAAATATAAAATTTCTTTTTATATTTTGGCGATAGTTCATATCAACTGTCATCTTTTCAAAATGAAATTCATTTTATCAAAATAATAATTTTTTGTGACGGAAACTATAAATTTTGTGGCACATTTTCTCTCATTCATTCGTATTTTTAATAAAATTAATATGAATTCATTATCAGTAGACATAAGCACTTTTAAAATGTAATATTTTAATGAATTTTCATCTTCCTTGGTATTCAAAAAGTCGTAAATACAATTTTGTCATGGCAAAATTCTACCTATTCTCTATTTCAGTTCGTTGGCAATCAATGCAATTCCTTATCTCTTATTTCTAAAGAAATCTGGCGCCTATATAGGCACACTGCAAATATTACTGGCGCCTTTGGGGCTACTGTTTTGTAGGAAAAATAAGTATCTGAATGTATATGCTTTCTCTCTTTAAATAACTTTAGTTTAAAAAATCATCATTATTTCAAGTACTAAGACTACTTATTAAGATTATTCTAAAATAACCTTGTAAGATGCATTTTGTTAAATTCTTTTAGGATATAAAATATATATTACTGAAACATCTTGTATATCCTTTTTTGCGATCATATAGTAGAAAATACTAGTAAGCTATTATTGAACTAATCTTTTTTTGTCGTAATTATCAAAAGAATTTGTTACACCAAAATTAAATGTCTATATAGCGAAACAAATGAAAAATTCCTTGCAGAATCGATTATATCCTTTGATTAAGTAGCAATATACATTGCAGACATATTATCAGAACATGTAGTGCCGTTAGCTTCTTATGTTAGCAATAACTTATTAATTCCTGATAACACAAGGAGCAACGTCGTTGGCATAGTAAGTGAATACCTGACGAGGTAAATATGAAACTTTAAATTGGTCTCTACGTAGTCCTGACCTCATTCTATCGAAGTTTTAAGCAAATGGAATCGTCTCGAAAATCACTTTCTTTAACAAATGTCAAGTGTCCAGTAAAATCACTGAATTTAGAGTATAAAAATATATTAAAGCAATGGAGTAAGAAACATGTTTTTGTTACAATAAGATGCGACTAACTAACACTGTCCTTCTCCTTTTATTTACCAATAAAGAGAGTTATCGAGTCATCTGATCTGGTTAATAAAGGTTAACTAATGTTTAAACTTTAAACACAAAAATAATAGTTACTGTTATAGCAACCATAATTTTTATTTATCAGGCTACTGTGATTGAAATATGAAATTATATTTTTTAGAATGCTTGCAACTTCTAAACAAAAACCAATCGGACTATGTTCATATAAGAAAAAGTGTTTGAAATTAACCCAGCTTCTATCTGTCAAAGTTTGTCATAGAGTTTGTAGAACACCCTGTATAGTCTCCTTAAGTTAAGGTTTAGGTTTTTATAACTTGACTTTGTCGTTAATTTTGACCATAGTAACATTTTTTACTCATTTGCCACCATTAAACCTGCCATTAAATTAAAGTTTTCTAATTATATTAGTCTTATTTTTTATTTTGATTAATTTTACAGTTTTCCAAATGTTCGGTACCTTTTTTAGTTTAAAACATGCTCATCCTTGAGGGCGACATTTCGGCAAGTGTACACCAATGCGGTTTTATGGTAACCGTTAAATGAATTTTGACAATCACCGAAAATGCTCTTTGAGTGCTTCGACAGGTAGGTAATGAAAAAGGTGGGTAGGTACAATAAAACCAAGAGGATGTTAACCGACCGCCTATCGTTGTTAAAATAGTACTTTTATTTAATTGTTAATTATTGTACCTAACGGCTTCTTAACGGTTGCACAATTTTATCACTTACAGACTGACATTCGATCGAACAGTTCACGATCAAAACAAGAAAGTATATCAAATGGAAAAGTGCTGTTCATCCTCGGTGTACTTATCCTTGGGAAGGTTAGTAATTAGCTTAGCATTAAAGACCCTCATCAAGACCCTGCAATCGTATTTTCGGGGAAAAATAGAAACGCTGTTGAGTTTGCAGTGCCATTTTATTCTCATTAAGGACCGCTTTCTTGACTGTTTAGGTATTTGCCCGTATCATAGTGCGCAACAAACTTAATGGCGTTGCTCATAAAATACAAAGTGTAGCAGCGATGTTAAGACAAACTTCAAAGCAAAGAAAAAATTATGCAGGTTTGTAGCAACACTCTGTGGATGAGAGGTTTGGAACTAACAGGAAACTCATCAAGTGCATTTCAAGCCGAAGAATGATTAGATCGTGAAATCTATCTGTCGAAACAGGATTCCTGTCTATTTTTATAAATCGCCAGGTGTGATATTAACAAGAAAAATTTCGTAACGTGAAATTCCTGGAATGTCTTTGATTAATCTCTCCGTCTCGTTATTAATGGTCCCCAAATAAACTGCCTTTACAAGTGAATTCATTATTCGGACCGCTGAATACGATTACGCTATCGTGTACTGTTCACTGCTTTTTCTCCATTACTACATAACAGTGTGTGGGTGGCGCTGCTTTAAAAAATATAGTTTCAAAGAATTGTTGATGTTTACAATTTTAAAAGATTCCAGACAATAATAATAATTATGTATTCTATATAGTTCATTTATATTCATATAGAATTCTAAAGATATAATATGCCTCGTCGGGAAACAGGGCACGTATGCGATAGTAGTAATAAATACCGCTAAATTAAAAATTGGTACATAAATATGTTTGATTCTGATGTGAGATATGATTGTTATTCTCAGACAAAGATATCTGGCATCTGCCAATGTGTAGAATTAATGCCCAAACACTGTCGCTTTCGGCTTTATTTATCGAACTACAAAAGTTTTCCATTATCACGTATTCCATCTATATCCACAATATTACTAGGAACTTTTTTAAGAGTAAACAGTTAAAAATAATCATGCGAAAGTTGTTATAAAAATTAATTAACATACACAAGCACTTCCAAAAAATAATAAAAGGAGATAATAAACGTTGACATAAAACTTAAAAAAACAAATCTAACGAAACAACTATTTGAAAATCTATTAATCGCATTGAATGCCGTGTTTTTCGTTCAGCAGTGCGTTAGAGGATAAGCTATATGCGATTACAGGGTTGTCAACAACGCTGACAAGTTAAGTATAAATATTAACAGGCGCTTATAAGAAGTTATTCAGTGTACTACTAAGGAATTCATTTGTATTCATCATGTAACGCGCTTAAAATGGAAAACAATGCACGTATTTGATGTATATATACTATCAGATTACTTCGCAATTAGAGGTTGATACACATAAATATTTCTAATACTGTATAGTCTCCATATGGCAAACGCTAATTTAACGGATTTAGTATTCCAAGGAATTTTTTTGATGTTGTTAATGAAAAGGTCCGTTACGTCATACGATTATTTCTGTAACGTAAATAATAACGAATGTTAATACTCGATGTGCAAGGTGATATATTTCAGAAATTAAAACTTCATAAAGTGAAACCTTTGTTTCGTCACATAAAAATGAATATCTGGATATGAATATGGCAGTTTAGCAAGTTTAGAATGTGGATCTAAAGCCATGATACAGCCTCAAGTTTCTGGAAAATGTAACATTTATGAAAATACAGATGTTTAGGTAAACAGTTCATTGAACCGGTATATTTAATGCAGTTATTTAATTCGCGGCGTTTCTTCTACCGAAAATTCAACGTAATTTGCGCACAATCTCAGCTACACACTTTCCGTACTTGTAATGAATTTTCACAATCAACTCTCGCTACGCTCTCTGCATTTCATAGGAAATTTAGAAAAGGCTTGTTAATCTAAAATCGATTGGAGTTATAATATAGACATAGAAGTTATAATAAGGACATAGTCTCGATGATAAGGATGTCTATCATGTCTCGAATTAAAAAAACACTGCACAATAAGAGACCATTAAAATGGCGTAAATAGATTTTTTTGTCTATTTTTTTCTATTATCAAAAGGAAGAATGCCATTTCGTGGAAACTTTTTATGTATTGCCTCATGGAATCCCAGTTTTATTGTCCCGTGTGTTTCGTTTTCGATTTATAATGATCAAATTCACATTTCACATCCTTTTAAAGTACATATTGAAATTATTTTACATTTACCTTGTTAGTAAAAATGAAGGGATTATCACATATTTTAATGTAGTGTTTCTTGGAATTTTAATTTCATTATTCCAATATTGAGTGAAACATCACCATCTAAATTAGGTAAGCAAATCCTTTGTTCAACCAAAATGAATCACGGTGCATTATAAAATTATTTTAATAACATCCCATACATACTTATACCATTAGTCATTAATTAGAAATTAAAATAAATTTGAAGGACTGCTAGCTGGAACTGCTAATGTTTAGAAATGGAAATAACTTGGAAAATATACAGGGTGTGATCCAAAATAAATCAAAATGTTCCTGTCAATACGGAACAACTATTTTTGATACAAAGGGCATTCAAGAGATTTAAATTGTTTCGGGTACATTTCCAGAGAGAATAATTAAATGAAAATTATTTGTACTCTACTGGCTTTTGCTTGTTAATAGTAAAGTGATGTACACACAAAAAGAATAAAAGTTACCTTGCAATACTTTTTTAACAAATATTCGTTATGAATAAAAATATAATTTTATGTGGGGCAATTAATATCATCGCGTCTACCTAAAAATTCTAATGACTAAAGTATTCTCGGAGAAAAAACAAAAATGAAAAAAACTTTACCAGCCTGTATATCAAAAACAAGTAAGAACGGACCTTTGTTACTAGGAACTTGTTTTATTTTTGGATGTAGAATGTTCTGACTAGGGATAGAAGATACGTTCTATATAAGTAACATACATCACCTACCAATATGAGTAAAACTCCTTATTGTGTTGGCACTTCTCGTGTGCAATCCCTTTTTTGGTATCGACGCTGTCTCGAAAGGAAACCCCGTCTGCTTCTCGTACATTTGTATCAAGGCTTGAGGTATCACTATTTTGGATTTGTCTATTTTAGGCCGAGATTTAAAACCGAACAGAGACAGCAGGCTCGCTTCTACTTCAGCCAGGGCTTCTTTGGGTAGGTTCGAAGACGACGTCCTCCAACAGCACTCGAGGATGGCCAGTATCACCAGCCAACACATATTCCTCAAATTCATCGTAGGTTTAACCTGGAACAACGGTAGAATTAATAAATCATCAAATTAAATAGTAAGTATTGTTATATTTTGACAAATTATGTTTGTTATGTCGATATTATACTTGTCGCCACTATTGGCCGCTTTTGGTCCTGCCAATTTAGAAACATAAGATATATAAGATAGAATGTAGAATAGAAATTTCCTCACTTTATTAATCTGTATATTTATAATGGTGTCTGCGAATTTTTGATCTTTTGAGAAGAGAATTCGAAAGTTGAAAAGATACCTTCGTAAAAGTTGTCTAGAATGGTAGACAGAATTTTTTTAAATAATACTGTCGGCAAAAATATCAGCAGAATAGGCAAAGATATCGAAAAATATGTAAAAATGAAGTAAAACACTGATTGATAGCCTGAATGTTTTGTTAACTGAATACTTTTTTAAGGAAGTGCTACTAATTTCAGAAAATAATTAAATTAAATGTTGTATATGTTATAAAAAATACCTATGTATCGATTTAAAAAACATTATACCGCTGTAATAAATAAAAATGAATGTTAGTTAGTTATGAACGTAGTATACAGGGTGTCAAGAATTGATAGTCATTGTTTTAAGTGGTGATAGACTGTACCCAAACAAACAAATATTATACGATATAGGTCTTGGCTGCCTCGCATTACAGTGTGCGCAAATCCTGACAGACAGCACGACGCTTATTAGGTTGTTAACCTTAACCTTCATAGCAATACATTTTATTTATCATTTAAATGGACTGAATCACACAAAAATAAAACAAATGCGAACACGGTATAACGTAAAACACAACTTACCATACTTTTGCGCAAACTCGCTGGAAAATACCTGGATTTACGCATATTTGTTACGCTGCGTCAAAAATCTAATCCAAGTCCATCTTCACTTTCAATTTCTGTGACATAAACTTTCCATGTGATGTCAAATTGAAATCAACAGGATTTAAATCTGGTGGTCGGGTGGGATAGGTGTAAGACCCATTTATTCTTATTCTTGGAACGTACTATTTAAATACTAGAATTTGGTAAACTATGTGAGCTAGTACACCATCTTGAAAATACCTCATACTGGCTGATATATTTAAAGATGTTTTCTCCTTCAAAAAGTTATAATAAACATCTCCTGGTAACACATATGGGCTTATCAAAGTTTCACCAAGTATGTCAGACCAAACATTTACCTAAAATCGACGCTGAAAATATACAAAGTGTGGATTTTCTTCTGTCCATGTGTGTGAGTGTTATGAAAGTTCCAAATACGTTCCTATAACAACACGTCGGTTATCATTATTCAAGCAAAACGTGTGTTATTGTCGTTTTTATTTACGAGCACCAAAATCTCCGCTGGAAATTTTGTGGACAGGTGCTTAAGCTCCGTGAAAATGGCATGGAGTTTCCCGGCTATGCTTGGTGAATCATTTTCCATTTTCCACAATGTTAAGGGATCTGTTCCTCAATATTTACCTATCGTTGCGAGCATCAACAAATGTCCATCTGTTTGGTAGAAGACTTTGAGCAAAACCAGTTGCATAAATATGCTTTTTGCGAAGTACGATGGGTGGCTTCATGAATTAGTAATACATCAAGACATTCAGCGTTATTCAACATGATGGGTTAGTTATTCGGATACTAATGTTGTATAAAGCCAAATACAAAACAAAAAAATAACAGTTAAATGAGATAACCAAAAACACAGAACGCACTCGACCTGCTTTCTCGATTACCAATGCTGCCAACTCTAACAATACAAAATTCCCAAGGCTAACTAGCCTTTTTGTTATAAATTATCCTATGAATTTAAAATAAAGGATTTTAACTGAAATTACCTCATGTTTACTAAAATGAATTGCACTCCTGCGATTTGCTTGTGATGGTTTTTCTTGTATGTGGAAGGATGTTAAATATTTTATCATATTGAATGACCCTTCACCGTTATTTTTGTTTTACTATTTTTTATTCTTATTGTTTATAAACAGTTGTAATTAGAAAAATGTTTACTTTTCTCTTAAAAACTGTTCGCATGTTGCGTACTTGTTTGTTTGGGTGTCATCTGTTAAAATAATGACCTTTACATCTTGCCGACCACAAGAGCGCCAAAACTTTACAATTCCATTATTTCCCTGATGTGTACTACGTTGCAAACTACTTACATTTCCATACACAACACTAGTACAACAAACGTCGGTCTCTTCTTTGCAAACTCTGTATCGTGTACTATCGTAGAATACTGTTTCAAATCATTTAAAGTGCCGACAAAAAAATTACGTATTCCCGACAGTGAAGCAATTTCAAATTTAACAAGGACCGCGGTTTTTTTCATGATTTATCTCAACTTCCTTGACGTTAAATGATTTTTCTACCGAATGTTGGTACATTATCTATTCCTGCGACGGTCAAAACAGATTTACGCTGACACTCCCGTGAAAAATGACGTACACTTGTGTTGTGAAATTCCATTCCATTTCTCTTATATGTAAATTCGAGAAACACGTTCAGTTTACGTGGATTGTAATTCCGTAACAAAAACAAGTAAAAAGAAGTAACAGTAACAGCAGTGATTTACATTACGGCTATGTATGTATCAGTTACTAATTTAATGTCGACAAGGTTCTCCTAAGCGTCTAACAAGATCTAATGCGAGATATTGCAAACAAAGCATCGCCAGATCCTTTGGAATAGAAATATATTTAAAAATAATATCAATAATAATAAACGTCCAATGCAAAATCTAATCCAAGTGTTTTCTGTTTGCCTTGAAGAAAAATTTAAGGGCAAAAGCAGTTTGTGACATTATTAAAAACGTCATAGATTTTTTGCATAAAGAAGCTTAGTTCCAAGAGTGAACTTCTTTCTTCAAGCTTTTTCAAGTTAAGTTTTTCAAAAATGTATTGCTCCTAAAGTTTTGTTTAAAGGTCTTGAAATTAGAGACTTAAAGCTTCAAGATACTGCCTTTCGAAAATCATTAAAAAATTTACGATTTTTTTTTTCAGTTGTGTATTTTTTGTGTCGGTGTAAAATTTAGTAAAGAATTTGAGTAAGGGCTTGTATAATTAGATGAATTGACACGGCTTAGTGTGCGTCTTAAACTTTCACTTAAAAGACAGTTTTTTTGAAACCAAAAGGCCAAATGTTCCTTGCAGAGTTTGTCAAAGAAGATTTAGGAAGGCAAGTGTATTTAGACAGCCACCACATACTCGTCGTACAACTTTTCAGGTGCTATTCGGAATCATAATTGACTATTAATTCTAACGGTTTATACTAGCAGATGATAATTTAGGAATATTGGAGAAACAGTTTCCATAATTACATAAAATATTCTTTCCCACGTTTTATGTGAGAAATACTCGTCTCGTATCGGAGAGATTCCTTTACTCAGGCACGCCACACGAACTTTTCTTGAATTTTTTTACATACTTATGGTCATGAAAAATGTATGGTGCTGCCGAGATTGAGATAATAAATATTCCCGTTTGCTTGTTTTGATTGCTAACAAACAGACACTGATGTACAGGGATACTCATGTAATAGTCAACCCTTTTAGTTTATCCTGTTAAGTTTCAGAATTTTTTTTTATGAAAACAACAAAAACAAACAAAAAAAGTCAATTCAATGTTGCATTTCAAAGATATAGGTAATTTAAACTTGTATTTTTTAAAACAAAACACCCGGTATATATACAGGGTGTTGCGGAAATGGGTGCAAAATGTTTTGGCGACGATGATGTTCTTCTGTCTATCGTCTTTTGAGATAGAGGGCGTCGAAGATGATTTTTTTAAATTAAATTTAATCCAGAAAGAAAAATTGTATTGCATCGAAATTTGGTACCTACAGATAAGTTTTCGACATGCTAAATTCGTAAACGCAATATACTTTTCCAAAGTCAATAGACTTTTGCTCCTCGATGTACTGGTTGGGAATACAAGGGCCAAATAAGTTTGAATCACGAATTTAACTCATCAAAACGGTATTTTGCATCTATCAACATAATGTTAACGGGCTGCCCATAGATTAAAGAGTTACCTTAACTTAATTAAAAAAACTAATACATTTTTAAGAACTAAGAGGTTTTTGAAAAAATTATTAGACAAGTTATTGACAACGTCTATATTTCAAATTGAAAGAAATGACTTTCTGAAAACATATAAAAAAGTTACGTCCGGAAGAAACAGAGCACCCTATATAAGCAATCATACAGGGTGTGGCGTGTATAATCTATAAAAAAATAAAACTACAGTTTCCTGATAATATTTGTAATAGAAAACTCTTATATGAAAAAGTTCTATTTTCGCGTTTTTTTTTTGTAAATTAAAGTTCATTTATTCAATGAAAATGAAGGCCGACCCTGTGTCATTTATTAAAAATTTTGGAAATGTTTTTATGCGACCCGAGAGATGCAACCTTATAATTTAAGTCGGTATAATCTAATAATAGAAATACTAAAAGAAGGTTAGGTTATATTGTCAAAAAATTTGTGCAGTCAACTGATTTTGTATTTGTACTGAATTCATTAATCACTTAATTATTAAATATTAAGCAGCGTTCATCGACCCATCAGTGTTAAAATGTGAAAGATTGCAGACAAAAGTTTTTATTTTGTAATTTCCCGATAGTAGGTAGTAGTGACACTGTAATTTTTATAAACAAGTAAAAAATAAGAATAGCGTGCCGATTACATTAATAACGAGATTCTTATTTCTTACTTTGCTTAATTTTTTAGTTTGTGCACAAACTAGTTTTACAATGAACCGAGAAAACAATGCATTTACTATTTTCATGGTGCAGCCGGAGAAAATGCGCTCGTACCATCCTACAGTGCGTCCAGCGATTGCGAGATACGGGAAGTGTTATTTCATTCCTCGAGGAGAAGGACGTGGTCAGCAAGTGAACCTTAATGTTGAAGATGCAGTGTTGGAAAATCTTGACGAAGACCCCACAATTAGTACTCGACGACTCGCACAACAAGTAAGAATCTCATCTCTTATCGTGATGAAAGGAATT